AATACAACTTTATGCTTGTATAATATTTTGAGGAGTTCTATTGAGAAAAATAAAAATGTAGATGGTTTCTTAAATCGAGTACACCGGCACACAAAGAAAGTTGTTTTACATCTGACACCACCTACCTACCGGCATATATTTTGACCCGCTGAATCCGAATTTCAAGTCAGTTTGGGCCGTACACCTTTCACTATCGAGTAAATTGTAAAAATAGCTAAAATGGGTAATAAAAAAAATTATGAATCTAAACCAAGCATAATTCTTATGTATTTTGATCCACTGAATACAAATCTGAAGTGTATTTGGAACATAAACCGTTCTAAATCTTAAAAAATTAAAAAAAAAATTTGAAAAATGTTAGATAAAAATAGCAAAAAATTGTCATTGATTTAACAAAAAAAAAATCTAGGCCCAAATTTAGGAGGATTTTTATGTAATTTGATTTGCTTCATCCGAATCTGAAATATATTTGGCCTAGAATCCCTCAAACTCTCAAAAAATCGATAAAAGAGCAAAAATTACAGTTGGAAAATATTTAAAAAAAATCTATAAAACATGATTAAATATGTTTCTTGTATTTTGTTAAAGTTTAAGTTAAGTTTAAAATCTGAAAATGCAAAAAATTATAATATCTCTAAAAGCAAATGTGTGAACAAATTAAGGAGAACGATTTTCTCAGATTTTAAGCTGTTTTTCGTTGGTATCGAACTCTTTTGTTTTCAAATGATCTACGCAGTAGATTCCTCGAACTCTTTTGTTTTCAAATGATCTACGCAGTAGATTCCTCTTTCATTGGTTATCATCTCTCGGTATATCTCTTTTTTGTGTCCAGCAAAAATCTGCCATCATGTTGACGCTCCAATTTCTTTGATATCTGGTCTCCATTTCACTTATGTCTTGATGAAATCGTTCTCCCTGTTCTTCGCTGTAGTCTCCGAGATTATCAGGAAACTGGTCGATATGAGAATTCAGGAACTGTAGCCTAACATTCATTAAGCAACCTAAATTTTTGTAATTTGTCATCAATTTTTCTACTAACGTTCTGTAGTTTTCGTTTTTTTTTATTTCCCAAAAAGTTTTGGGACACATTTTTAAAACATACTCAAGCTGCTCTCTCCGTGTCGTTCATTTTCCCAAAAAAATTTGCATCCTGAAATAGAGTTCGAATTTCTCTCTTTTAATTTTGCATCACTTATTGCAGGAAACTTTTCTCTCAAGTACTGGAAGCAAGTGACATCTTTGTCCAGAGCTTTAACAAACTGCTTTATGAGACCTAGCTTGATGTGAAGTGGAGGTAGCATCTATTTTGAAGGCTGAATCAATGGTGTTCGTATAACGTTATGAGTACCTGGTTTGAATTTCTCTCTCTTTGGCCATTCTTTCTTTACATAGTGATTTTTCCTGTCCCTGCTATCCCACAAACATAGATAGCAGGGATATTTTGTGAATCCCGATTGTTGACCTAAAAGAAGTGTTGCGATTTTCAGATCCCCACAAATTCGTGTTGCGGTTTTCAGATTCCTACAAATTCACCATTGATGCTCTGAATACTTTATTTTATTCAATACTCTTTGCGCGTTATCGTAGGTCGATTGGAATCGGCGCTAATTCGATCCCTGTATAAAGCACAACAGCTTTCAGACTTCTAGATGATGAATCCATAGAGAGTCTCCACTCGTCATCTTTATTGACATTAGGTTTTAATTCATCAATAAAGCCTTTAACATTAGAAAAGTACACCATCGAGTTTTCATCGTCTTTTGTAAAAAAAATTCCGGAACCCCTTCTCTCTGGTTGGATAAAAGGAAGACGATAATCCTTCAGCTAACAAATTTTTATTTTTCAGTCTTGGTGCTAGTAATTCAGCCCCATCTTTAGGTAACCCTAAGTCTCGTACAAGATCATTGAGTTCTGCTTGGTTAAATGTTTCAGGGTCTTTTGTTTTCTTATGTGGCATGTAATCTTCATCCTTAAAATTTTCATCTTCAGAATTTTCATATTCAGAGATTTCTTCTTGCACTCCTGCATCTCTTCGGGAGCCTCGATTTCATTTATTACTACAGTTTTCTGTCGTTTAACAGCTGATGAAACATTGGCGTAGTGTATTTTACTTTTATTAGTCGAAGAAAAACCAGCAACTTCAAACATACAAAAGTAACAGTTTTGTGAACTTGTTGGTGAAGTCCAGATCATGGGGACTGTAAATTTCAAGTTTTCTCTTTTTTGGACTTTTCCCATTGTGTCAACGTGAGATTACATCGACCACAAGCAAAGTGTGGGACCCAGGTGGGATCCAAATTCGTAATTTATATACGAAAGCATTCCTCAACGGTCTACGGTCAAACGTAAGAAAATAAATCAGCACTTTTATCACATAAATGAGAATTACTTCTTGTAATAGTACACTCTCCAGTAGCCAAGTCTCCCACTACCGAAAAGCTGCAGTCGCTTGATGACGACGCCTGCGGGCCTGCTTTCTCACCCTGACCAGACGCCGATACTGGGATCCCTGCATCGTAAAGTACTTATCACTTGTATCTGCCATGACGGCATACAAGCCGTTAACCCAGGGACTCAGCCAGATGGTTCTTTTTCCCACCGTCACAACGTGGAGGTGCCCTGGTTGCAGGTACAAGCGACCAAAAAAAAAAATAAACTGCGTCGATCATTTGAGAACAAAGGAGTTTGATACCAACAAAAAACAGTTTAAATCAGGAAAAATCGTTCCATTTATTCGGTTTATACATAATTTTTTAGACATATTGCAACTTTTTGCTATTTTTGACATTTTTCAAGGTTTTTTTTACAATTTGTTAAGATTTAGAACGGTTTATGGTTTAATGCACTTCAGATTTGTATTCAGCGGATCAAAATAGATAAGAATTATGCTTGGTTTGGATTCATAAATTTTTTGTATTACCATTTATCCCATTTTAGCTATTTTTACAATTTCCTCGATATTGAAGGGTGTACGACCCAAACTTACTTAAAATTCGGATTCAGCTGGTCAAAATACATGCCGGTAGGTAGGTGGTGTCGGATGTACAAACAACTTTTTATACCCGAGCGCACTTGTGCACAAGGGTATTATAACTTTGTTCAAATAACGGTTGTTTGTAACAGGCAAAACGAATCGAGATAGATAAAGACAAATGTATACATAAATGATCAGAATTAAAAGAGAAATCGATTAAGCGGTGACTGTCTGTCCGTCCGTCCGTCCGTCCGTCCGTCTGTGCACACGATAACTCGAGTAAAAATTGAGATATCTTAACGAAACTTGGTACGTGAACTTCTTTTGGGCGTGGGACGGATGGTATTGAAAATGGGCGAAATCGGATAATAACCACGCCTACCTCCCATATAACGGTAATTTTCAGAAAAACGAAAACTGCGATATTTTAGTAACTACTGAAGATTAT